ATGATGACAACCAGAGTGTGTACAAAAGTGCAATGCATATTCGTCTATGTGCTTGCATAACTTCTGTGCATTAGAACCAAAATGCTCTTGGCATCTTTCTTCAGGAGCAGAACTTTGCAGAGCTGATCAGGTTCAATCGTAGAAGAAATTGTGCTTCCAGCAAGTTTAACGTGTTTCTCAAATCCCGAAATGCATTCCCTTGTGGACCACTGCCAAGACCAAATCGAAGCAGCAGGCAAACCCGCCGCATCTCTATTCCTAACCCTCAGCCATAAGGTTCGCAACAATAAAATTGGCTCCGATTTTTGCTCCAAACAAGGTCAAACCCAAACCCTGAAAGATAGCGTCAAAATCACTGTAAGTAAATTGTAACTACAAACTGGATCCAGGCCCAACAATGACCAGTATAAAAGGATCCAAAAGAACCCTAAAGAGGAGAAGACTCTTACGAAAAAAAGCGGCGTTGGTACCAATCGAGGGAGGGTCGGCGGATTTCCTCAAGTTTCATCGACATCATCATCCGGTTGAAGAAAGAAGCAGAGTGAGGAGAAACCGACCGTCGAAGATTCAATCGGACTTCGACGAACAGGGACCTCATCATCGTTCTCCATTGAGATCAACGGCTGAGGTCATTAACGTCAAAAGATTGTTCCCGGTGCCGGAGGGTAAGTTTCACTTGGTTATTATCGCTCTATCATTTCTTTTCCGCAGGTGATGATAGGATTGAGGAAAGCCAACCAAAGGTATGTGGATCGGGCATTTGTGGCGATGGGGAGGACGAGATCTCCTGCATGCAAAGACCGTGAGAGCGCCGCCGACGAGTAAAGGGGAAGGAGAAGAAGGCTTTGAAACCTGGGGATGACGGGTCAACGGAATCCACGTCCCCTTTTTGTTTTTCATTTTTATTTCTTCTTGTTTTATTTTGTGATTTTTTTTCTTTTGGTATTTAATTATTGTAGTATTTAATTAATTCAAGATTAGGATTATTAGTCAATAATTAAGTTAGCAGTAAAATTAACGCAATCTTAAATCAGTGACATTCTTTTTATCAAAGCCTCCTTGAAACCGTTAAAGAAATTTTGAAAAGATGTTTACCTTGTAATTTAAAACACCTTTTGCATCTTTATTACAATATATTTTTATTACAATATATTTTTTGTTACAATAAAATTAAAATCAATTCCCTTAATAAAATTAACGCAGAATTTTTCTTAAAATAAAAACACCTTCTTTGTTTAAATTAGAACATGTTTTAAATAAAAACATCATGTTAACATAATTTCTTCTTCAATTAACTTTTCTTTTAATAAGAATGCAAGAATGCAAGGTTTGTTTTAGCCGTTTCACTTTCACCTAACCTTCGCTACTCGGTTTGTCTCGGATTATTAGTATTCATTGTTTGGTTTTTGTTTCATGGATGTAATTTACGCGAGGCCATGGTTGCGGTTTATTTTTGTTTTGTAGTTTTTTGGGAATTTGTATTTTACGCGAGTGGTCGCGCTGCTTTCCTTTTCTGCTTGCTTTATTTTTCATATTTTTTATGCTTGCCATGTAATAGTTATGTTGCCTGCATGTTTTTACCGTTATGTTCCTCCGAAGGATTAGGTCTAGCTGTTTGACCGCCGAGTTAATAACCCTAATCTTTGACCATTTCGAAACCCTAATTTGCCTAGGTGTCCCGCCGTGGACGAAAATCCCCTTTACCCTAGCATTAGGTCAAAGAGTCGTCGTACTCTGTTTTAGGGTTTCCCGCCGTGAAACACCTGATTTCAACCCTAATTTTAATTCAACTTTTCAACATAGAAATAGGAGTTTCAAGACTTCACGTAAGCGTGTCCTTAAGATACATTTACTCCCATTGAAACCTTGACCACTGTCAAGAAGTTCCTAACCTCCCTTTCAAGGGGAACTACGATTACTCTGATTTCATTCCCTATCCAGGATACGTAGGCACAAGATGCGACGTATTGCCGAGTAAACTTAGGAATAACCCTTAGGTCTTTTAGGTCACTCTATCCCTTAGCTCAATATATATTAAAGCAGATAATAAATAAAAATAAAAGGCATACAATAAACAAAAGGTTCATGTAGAGTACTACAGAAGTTTAGGGTGCTAGTACCTTCCCTGAGCTTAACCAACCCCTTACCTAGGTCTCTCCCCGCATTGTGCTTATGATGCAAAAATAGGTTTTCCCTCTTTTGACCGTTTCCTTCGGATAAATCAAAGAGCGGTTGTGAATCAAGAATTGTGATTCAAACTAATTAATAGTTTGATATCCTATTTCCACCGCAACACTATGCTTCTACTTTGCAAGCACATAGGACAAAATTTGATCATAGAGTTAGGAAGTCCATCTTTCTTGGTTTTAGGGATGGTACCAAGGGATACATTGTCTATGACATTCATAGCCATGTTATATCTGTGTCAAGAAATATTTTATATGAACACATTTTCCCTTTCAAACTCAATTTTTTACCTTCTACCTTTCCTGCACCTAGTCATCACTTTCTTGATGATTTGCCTGACATACCTCAACCACCTACTCATCTTGAACACACTAGTACTACTGATGTGTCTCTTCCTTTTAATACGGGCCTGTCCATTGACACTAGCAGCAATGCTCTATCACCCCTTGGTACTTATCCTTCTCCGTTATCCTCCAGTTCCTCACCTGACCCCAACCTTCTCTCTAGTCCTTCTAATACATACGATGTACCTTTACATTTATCCAACAGTCTTTTATGTGACAATTTTGTTCCTTTATCCCCCAATATCAGTCATGTCCCTATTGCTCCTGTTGTAATTTCTTCTCAGTCTATAGATATTTCCCCTTTACCCTTGAGACACTCCACTAGATCTTCTCATCCTCCCAGCTACTTAGCATATTACCATTGTTATTCTGGTGCTGCCAAAAATCATCCTCCTATAACCTATCCTTTATCCTCAGTCCTATCATACAGTAATTGTTCTCCTTCTTATAAACATTTCTATTGTTCCATTACCACCAATATTGAACCAAAAACATACTCCTAGGCCATTAGCAACACACTTTAAGGTTGATGGTTCTATTGAGAGGCATAAGGCTAGGCTTGTTGCCAAAGGGTATACTCAGTTAGAAGGGGTTGATTACTTTGACACCTTTTCTCCAGTTGCCAAGATCACCACAGTTTGAGTTCTTTTATCCATTGCAGCTATTAAGGGTTAGCATTTGGAGCAATTAGATGTGAATAATGTCTTCCTTCATGGTGATTTGAATGAAGAGGTATAGATGTCCCTTCCTCCTGACCTTTCTGTCTCAAAACCTTCTCAAGCATGCAGACTTCAAAAATCTATATGGTTTAAAACAAACAAGCAGACAATGGTACTCTAAACTTTTTTTCTTTCTTGATCTTTTTGGGCTACTCTCAATCGTAGGCAGACCATTTCTTATACACCAAGGCAACCAAGGACAGTTTCACTGCATTATTTGTCTATGTGGATGACATAGTTTTGACAGGGAACTCCCTTCATGAAATTCAATTTGTCAAAGGTGTCCTTGACAAGCAATTTAAAATCAAGGACCTTGGTCAGCTAAGATTTTCCTTAGGCTTTGAAATTTCCAGGTCTAGTAAAGGTATTTTTTTGAATCAGAGGAAATACACTCTTGAGTTGTTGGAAGAAACAATTTTTCTTGCTTACAAACCTTCTTCTATACCTTTTGATCCCACACTGAAGTTGTCTACTTCAGATGGCCAGGAATTGCAAGATCCCTTTTCCTATCACAAGTTAATTGGCAAGTTGATCTATCTCACTAACACTAGACCTGACATATCATATGTTGTGCAACAGTTGAGCTAATATGTTTCTCACCCCTTACTTCCACAATATCAGGCAGCCACAAATGTCTCAAGGTATCTTAATTTTTTCCTTATTAAAGGTATCTTATTTTCTTCTTATAGTGATTTTAAGCTCTGTGATTTTGCTGACTCTGACTGGGCACAATGCCCTGATACTCGAAGATCCACTACTAGTTTTTGTGTTCTTCTGAGTTCCTTTCTTCTTTGTTGGAAGTCCAAGAAACAAAACACAATTTCTAGATCCTCTACTGAAACTGAATACAGGGCTTTAGCATCTTTAACTTGTGAACTTCAATGGCTGCAATATTTGTTTAAAGACCTTACCATCACCATGTCCTAGCCAACTTCAGTTTACTATGATAGCAAGTCAGCTATCTATTTGGCTCACAACCCTGCATTCTATGAGAGGAGTAAAGACATTGAACTGGAGTGTCATGTGATTTGTGAAAAGATTCAGTCTAAACTGCTTCATCTTCTTTCTATTTTCACCACTGACCAGTTTGCAGACATGTTTAGAAAACCTTTGCATTCTCCAACCTTAACTTCCATTTTGGCCAAGTTAAGACCTTGTAGTATCCATAGTCCACCTTAAAGGAGAATATTAGCTTACTATATTAGCTTGATAGCTTATTTAACAAATAGAAATAGTTAGATTAATTAGATCCAATGACTATTGTTTAATCTATATATAAACTACCACATGTATCTTATCTCTTAATCAATAAAACAGTTGTTCTATTAACTTTTTCTTTCTCTCTGCACAATTCTATTGCAAGTTATTTGCAACCTTCTTCTCCAATGACATATGCTTTCCATTTTGACACTTTCTGACACAATCATTCATGAATAAAAGCTTGAGAATATAACATTTTTTTATATTTTGGATTGTTTTTTTGAAAAAGCACCGACATAAAAAGTTCCATTTTGTATTGTAAATAAAAAAAATGTATTCATGTTTTTAAATTTTCTATAGTTCTTAGAGGAAAGTTAAATAAAGAGCCTTTGTGAAGTTTTCTCAATCCTCTTATGCTGTCTAAACAGGACTGAAGATCAAACTATTGAAACTTTCGAGGTCATGGTTCAACAGAACAAGGATGGCAAACCTCTTACTGAAATTACAAGAAACTTTGGACTTCATATGTAACGTTTTCAACCTTACATTGCTAAGGTTCATCAATATTGTTGCTTTCTTTAGCTGAAGCACTTGCCTGCAATGCTTCTATATACAAAACCTTCACTAGATTCCTAAATCTTCTTCGAAAAGTTGGCATCCGCGACATCAAAGCCACAATCCCCTGCAATCTGAACCATGAATGCGGTTGAACTTTTTTTATGTAAGTCTTAAGTTGTTTTCATAAACTCTCGTGAACATGAAGAACAGATAGTTACAGAAACTAGTACTTATATGTCACGCGATAAATAAACATTATATAGAAATATACCTTCTAATTATGGCTTGCAACTGTGCTCTTCTAACATTGTCATTTGATGGGAATCCAGTGCTATCCCAATCCTGAGGTATATTGTTTTTGCATCTCATAACAAGTTCTTTCAAACAAGTTTCTTCACTTTCTTGCAGCTCAAGGTTCTTAAGTTGATCTTTCATGACTAGTAAAGGTCCAATAAACCACTCAAACACTTTATCCTTTGGTCCATTCATCTTTGTCAGTTCTACATCATCGGCTGCAAATGCATATATGTCGAAGCATAAATATATTTATGTATTTCAATCGAATGAAGAGGTGACACGAGTAAGAGAAGTACATATAATCAACCCATCTGAATTTGATTTTGCTGATGTTAGAAGACATTGGAGCAAAGACCATGCTGGTAACTTGGTGCTTAATATTTTCCAATTGTCTTTCGAAATGCATTCCTCGATTTCCTTCACACTTATAAGACCGTCGCGGAGGACTATTCTTCCGTTTACCTCGCATGACTTAAAAAACCAGTCCCAAATCTGCAAAAGGGTCATTCTTTTCAAGTTAGAAAAATTCATAGAAAATGCTTATTTTTAAGTCAAATTACCATCACCTGCACAGGTTTGTAGTGATGAATTTTCCACTTCATACTTCTGGTTTGTTGTAGTGTATGTTCCAAGTTTTGTGAACTATCTCTCCGGTTTTTCAAATTATGATCACTTTCTTCAAGGTTCTTCTCATGCCTCATGTTTTTACGGTATGCTGGCCTGTCTGTCACAACGACTACTTTGAATAAGTGGCAAATGTTTGTCGTTATTAACAACACACTCTAATACACTATCTTTCCAGCACTATATTATTGGCTTAAATTCACGTGGACGCGTGATTTAGGTGAACCCACATGAACTTTAGCGGGTTATAGAGTGTTGGAGAAAAAAGTGTCTGAGTTCGCGTTGCTAGCACTTATGTAAGCACGGTAAAGAATATTTGATACCACCTGGGAAAGCAGGATCCGGCTCTCAAGAAGAGTAAATCATTCACATATTCATCAAAATATGAAACCACAGACACAATGTAAGCAAACCCCATCTGCATTGAGTCCTCCTAAAGTAAAATACGCAACAACTTTATCCGGTAATTGATGGTTAACATGACACTTGTGAGTTATTAAAGCTTCATACATGAACTAACCTGATAGACAACAACTCCACTGTATAGACCAAGAAAAATGCTGAAGATTGTAGCTGCTAATACAGCTCCTATAACAGCCAAAGGCCAAAGGATAATGGCAAGGCCAGCAAACGGGACGCATTCCGTTTCTAAGAAAGGTCCTTTCCTTCCAATCAAATCTTCTATTAGTCTCTTCCATCCTCTGAACAGCATGTAAGGGCTCTTCCATATAGCAATAGATGTGATTAAAACCACATCCAAGGGCACACCAACCAAGATCACCAAGAAGCAACATGGTAATAAAGACAATCTAATAAACACAACCAATGGTTGTTAATTAGTATCTTACTCTTACAAACAAACATATATTGGAAGGGAACAAAACAACTTACCTGAGATCAAATGGCTTTTCTTGAGGAGGTAAATTTTCTCTTAGTTCATCCATGTATGAAAAATAGGAGTGAAAGCAAAAATCTGTCACATCCTCAACAACAGTGCAGCTTGTTTTAATTGTTGACCAACAACCATCCTGGTATCAAAATATACATAAGCACTTATACATGATAAGTTCTTAATTAAGCTGTTTATCCAAATAGATCTTAAATTACATAAACAAGGTGGCAAAATTACATAGCAGAAATTCTGACTTACAATGAAGCAATGGTAGAATTTGTCTTTAATATTCTCTCCCACAGCCTCAAAAGTTGCAAAAAGAGGAGCAAAAAAGCCATATCCAATTCCACCTAAAATGCTACCACCAATCCCAACTACTGGCCAAAGTAACAAAGGAAGAGGCAAACATATCAACATCACAACCTTGAAAACTAGTCCAAATCTCTTTGTTCTGTTGTCAAAGGCCAACAATTGAAGAATGAGATTGAGTTAGAACATAATCATACATAGTTTGCATTCAAAAGTCCAAAGAATTTGGTAACAAACTACAACCTGGCCAAACAATAGTATGTCCAAACAACATGTGCTGTCCAAAGTCCAATGATAACAGATGAGTTTCCAACAAGCATAATAGCAAATGCAATTGGACCAATCAATGTAGCTGCCAAAAGGAATCAATCACTTATCATGAATGCATTAATAATAACTATGAGCTTTTCTTCATCAAATTATGCATTAGAGACTACATAAGCATGAATATAATACTTCATAAAATCTAGTAAGGAATCAACAATATATGTGTTTAAGCATAACCAACAACATGAAAAGAAAAAGAACCTTTGGTGATACCAAGTATAAAGAGCAAGAAGAAGAAAGGGAGGAAGGAAATAAAGCTCCACAATTTGGTGAGTAAACCTGCAGAAGAATCCATGATGGTGATATAAGAGACAAATATAAATGATGTCTATGCTGAACTTGTTTGTGTTTGTGTTTGTCTTTCTTTAGCTTATACTATTGTTTAAAATAACCGAACAAGTGAAAAGCAATATAAAATTTTCAACTAAGATTAAAGACTTCTGTTCCATTTTTTACTTTTTGATATTAGTAACAATAATTTTATCTTGTAAAGTGTGAAGTAAAGAGATTTGATTCGTGGCGGTATGTGAGTGAATTGACGTGTTGATGTGTTAATCATCTAGAGAAAACTCATGATCACAGATTGCTATGTTGCCTCTTGGGATTCCCATGCAAAGATGTGGGCATGGGATGTAGGGACCATGAGATATATATTTAAAATTGTATTAAGCAAATGAAATATTTATAATTAACAAATATTAAAAAATTTTGAAATTATTCATATTTTCTTCTATTTTTTATCTGTAACTTTCTCACTTATTTTGTTTTTTCCCCATATTTTAAACTTTAAATTTTTCGTTTTTTTTTTCTTACATTTTATTTATTTCATTTTTTTCTTCATTTTCTTAATCTCTTTTTAATTTAATGAAAAACAACAAAGAAAGACGTTAATTTTAAAACGCAAAATTTAATCTCAAAATAAAAACATATTTATTTTATAACTATTAAAAATATTATTTATAATTTATAAAATTATTGTGATTTTTAATCCAAATAATCCACTTTTTCTTTCCATAATAAAAAAATTTCTAAAATACTCCACTTTTAAAAATAAATAGGACTTAGTGTCGTGAATTGATGACAGATATATAATGGAGGTGTCAATGATTAATGATTATATATATATTTGTTAATTTAATTGGCGCCAATATGCAAAATTTAAAGGGAGACGTCAATTGATCTGACATATATTATGATTTTTTTAATATAAATAGAAATATCTCTTATTATTTGCTTCACTTCACATTTCATTTCAAATTATTCTTTCATTTTCATAATACCTTTGTCATAATTTCAAATTCTTCTTTTGTTGTGAAATAACATACATCTCACGAAATATTATTAAAATAATATATTTATTTTATTTTAATCAACAATTATTTTATTAAATTAACACAAATATCTTTCTCTCCTATCCACTTATACATCAAAATATTGTTGTTCTCAGTGTTAATATCTTCTCATCAGTATTTCCCTTTTAATATTTGAAGAAATAAATTTAAAATATTCTCAGTATTAATATCTTCTCATCAGTATTTCCCTTTTAATATTTGAAGAAATAAATTTAAAATGGGTCTCTCATTTTTTTTCTATATTAGTTTCTTGTTCTCTTATTTAATTTAAATCTATTCCTCTTTCTTTGACTATATTGCTTATGCATAATATCAATTTGAACAAATTCTTATTTGTTAACCTCTGAATTTTTAGATGATGTGTATGGTTTTTCAAATCTAGAAGATCATGTATGACTATAGTTGTGACTGAATATTAGGCTTGACAATTTTGACATTTTTCTTTTTCGTGAAATTCCTTCTTATGGCAAATGTGTTCATCTCAATGATAATTTAGCTGAATTTAAACTATCTTTAAACAAAATTGTAAATGGTTGTTGCGGTGGAAATAGGATATCAAACTATTAATTAGTTTGAATCACAATTCTTAATTCACAACCGCTATTTGATTTATCCGAAGGAAAAGGTCAAAAGAGGAAAAACCTATTTTTGCATCATAAACACAACGCGGGGAGAGACCTAGGTAAGGGGTTGGTTAAATTTAGGGAAGGTACTAGCACCCTAAACTTCTGTAGTACTCTACAGGAACCTTTTGTTTATTGTTTGCTTTTCTATTTTATTATCTGTTTTAATATATATTGAGCTAAGGGATAAAGTGACCTAAAAGACCTAAGGGTTAGTCCTAAGTTTACTCGGCAAGACGTTGCATCTTGTGCCTACGTATCCTGAATTGGGAATGGAATCAGAGTAATCGTAGTTCCCCTCGAAAGGGAGGTTAGAAACTTCTTGACTGTGGTCAAGGTTTCAATGGGGAGTAAGCATTTCTTAAGGAAACGCTTACGTGGAGTGTTGAGACTCCTATTTCTACGTTGAAATGTTGAATTAAAATTAGGGTTAAATTAGGTGTTCCACGGCGGGAAACCCTAAAACAGAGTACGGCGACTCTTTGACCTAATGCTAGGGTAAAGGGTAATTTCGTCCACGGCGAGACACCTAGGCTATTAGGGTTTGAAATAGTCAAAGGGTTAGGTTATTGACTCGGCGGTCAAACGGTTTAGACCTAATTCCTTCGGAAGGGAAAATACGGTAAAACATGCAAACATGGCAAACTATTATATGACAAAAATTAAAGTGCGGAAAGTGAAGAAAGCGTCGCGACGATCACTCGCGTAAATTACAAATTCCCAAAAAAGAAAAATAAAATAAACCGCGACCATGGCCTCGCGTAAATTACATCCATGGAACCAAAATAAATTGAAAAATATTAATCGAAACTTAAGTATAATCTAAGGAGAAACATAGAGAACATTAGCGACAAGTTAGACAGAAATTCATGGCAAATAATAAAATAGTGAATATTGACAGGAAGACAAAATGCAATTTGGAATTTTTATTATTGTTTATTAGTTTTGAAAAGGGATTTTAGTTTTAATTTAAAATGAAGTTTAGTTTTAAAAATATTTTAAACCCATTATTTTAGATTAACGAAAAATCAACTTGATATTTTACAAGGTTAGAGATTTAAACAAAAACAAAGATTTCTTTTTTAGAAAAAACGTTTGGTTAACATTAAAACAAGTTAGAGTTGAAGTTAATTAACTAAGTCTGTTAATACTCAGTCGTTACAACCAAAAGAAATTTTAAGTTTTAGATACAAAGAAAAATTTTAAGTGAAAACTATATAAGAATGTTTTAAGTTAATGTTCTAAAAAAAATATTAATTGCAAAAAGCTTTTAATCATTACATCATAAAAATAAAAAAAATAAACTAACGTAAATTCTTAAAAAAATGAAAATAAAACACATATGAAAACAAAAACAGCAAAGCACACGGTGAACAAAAGGGGTATATATGGTCAGATTAGTTACAATTAGGGTTTCTTAATCCTTTTCTCTTCTCCTTCTACCCATGACCGGCGGCGCCCCATCTCCACCTTCCCCAGAACCTTTCGTCTTCTTTCGACGGCGGCAGTTTCCATGTGGCGTACTCTTCTTCTATCTCCTGTCAACAAAAGAACACATGAAAACCAAATGAGTTAATGGTTTTGATCATTACCGATGCTTGCTTCGTGTTGGATTTTTGCTGGTTTTCAGGTGGTTTCGTCCGATTTGGCCAATGAGGAGGTTGAGGCGATGATGATGGTGAAGGAAACTTTTCTTTTTGAGCCTTTGATTGAACTTCGGTGGTAGTAGATTTCTCAAGGGTTTTACGGCCACCGCTTCAGACGTGTTGTCTCAACTGATTTTGCAGTGATGCTGACATCTGTGGAATTTTACATCTCACAATGTTGTTCTGGTTTTTTGTTCTTCGTCTTTTGTTGGGTGAGTTCATTCTATATTATTTCTTCCACCGTTTTTTGTGATCCCCCCCCCGTTAGGGTTTCGTATCTCCTTCACTTTATATGACTTATTGAATCTCATTTATAGGCCTTGATACTTCTAACTCTTGTTGAGATTATCATGTGGATTCTACAGATTTTTCGGAACTGAATTTTTGACTGAACAGCTTTGTTATGTTGTTGGGCTTTCGGATACGGATTTTACGTTTATTGATTTTGTTTGGATGCTTGGATTTCGGATTCTGTTAGCTGATATTGTTTTGCTTGCTGATATTGATTTGGATTTTCTTCACATATTGGATACGGATTTGTGATGTGGTTTGGATTTTTGGATATTGGATTTGGATATCCGTTTTCTGTGGCTTTGGGTTTGGACTTCTGGATTCCATAATATTTACATGATAGGAATGGATATCTGGATTGAATTCTGTTAGTGATCTGTTTGGTTGGATAATCACTTTTTCGGCAAAATCATTTTTCGGCCCACCTTCTTTTCCTCTTCTTCTTGGCTGTCCCGAAAAGAACGGATACTACCGGTTCAACGCCGAGGTCGAGAATTAGAGTGGGAGTTGGTTGCGACCATTGTCGTGCCCTCCCGACACCCGGTGATGAGACTTTTCTGAGGGTGTCAAAAATAAATCTAACGTTTTGCTCTTATTTTTCCGTTGTGATTTTTCTGTGTGCATGTACGGAAAAACATTTGGATATTCGGAGAATTTAATCAGAAAAGTCGAGCACGAAGGATGGCATGAAGACGAAGACCACTTAGGAAAATAGAATTTAGGATGAAAAATAATGTATATTTTTATTTTCCTTTTGCAAATTGTAAAAATATTTATGAATAAAAAAAATTCAATAATATTTCTATCCAAAACAATATCTTATTCTCTTTTCCTGATTAAAATTTGTCGCAATCGGATGACGCATGAAAAATATCTGATTAAATCCAACTTGGTCAAAATTCTCCGAATAAAATTAATCGATTAAATTTAACCGATTTAAACTTTGCACAAGCAGCTTTAATTTATACCAAATGAACTTGCACGGATAAATCGAATCAACCTGGTCATTCCCACCTGTGCTACCTCATATAACTGATATATCTTTCAATTCCAATCCAATATTTTCCCAAATTAAATCGTGTCGGATGATATAACTGATGATAGTCTTGAACGACGTGAAACATGAAAGAAACAGAGAAAAACCGATTACCGCGGAAGCAGAAACATACTTCGCATAAAAAATTCAATTTGTCTCTCCGACGACTAAACCCAATATCCTAGATTGAGTCGGCCAAAACCATGATTTAATCTGCATAGTAACTTCAAACTCGATTCGAAACAAAATCCCACTGCTCCCTTTTCTTGCGGATTGAAATAGCAGAAAGCAGGGGAACCAGAAAAATAAATGTCTGTTTAAAATAAACTCCGCAGCATGGATTCTTA